TACCCAACAGCACGCCTGTCACAGATTTCAAGATAATGGACACTAAGACAGCTGATCCTCTTTCTTCTTGAGTCCCATGTTCTGGTGGATCTTAGCACTTCTCAGCAATTTGTATCTTATCTTTTCAGAACTATATTTAGTTCTGTATGTCATTTTAATTTGTTCATTTTCTTGGTGTCCAGGTTTTGTTTTTAGTTCTTTATGTATCTTTGATGTTAGTCCTCCATCAGATGCATAAATCTGTAAAGATCCATTACCATCCTGTATCCTGCCACTTTGTCCTAATGATGGTGTCCTTTGCCATACGGAAGCTATTCAGTTTCATGTGGTCCCACTGTTTTTCATAGTACCTGTGCTAATAGTGTCCTGTTAAGGAAGTCTATGACAATAAGTTAAAGGTTATTCCCAACTTTCTCTTCTTTTACATTTGTGATATCTGGCCTTATGCTGAGGTCCTTGATTCATTTGGAGTTAATTTTTGTGCATGATGATAAATAAGGATCTATTTATATTATTCTAGATGAAGTCATCCGGTTTGAGCAGCATCACTTGTTGAAGATGCTGTCTTTTATCCAATATGTATTTCTAGCTTCTTTGTCAAACATCAGGTGTTGGTAGGTATATGGATGTGTGTCTGGGTCTTCAATTTGAGTCCATTGATCAACATGTCCATTTTATGTCAATACCATGCAGTTTTTATTACTATAGCCCTGTAGTACAATTTGAGATTCACAATGGTGATACCTCCAACAGTTCTTTTACTATTCAGGACTGTTTTCACTATTCTATGTTTTTGTGTTTATGTATGAAGCTGAAAATTGTCCTTTAAATTTCTGTGAACTGTTGGAATTTTGTGTTGAATCTGTACATTGCTTTTGATAGGATGATTATTTTCACTATATTAATCCTACTGATCCATGAACATGGGAGTTCTTTCCATCTTCCAAAATCTTCATTTCTTTATTCTTCTCTCACAATACATTGTCACTGCCCTTCCCCTTCATCTTCTCTCCCCAACTTCCCCTCTTCCCCAGATTCCCTCTTTCTCTATGTCCCTTCAAAAAAAAGCAGGCCTCCCAGTGATATCAACCAACACAACATACATAACAAGATACAAAAGACTAGGCACATACCCTCATATCAAAGCCGGGTAAGACAACCTGGTAGAAGAAAACGAGTCCCACTCCCACTGTTAAGAGTCCCACACAAACAACAAGCTAACAACCATAACATAAAAACATAAAAAGTTTTACATTTCCTTCTTAATTTCTGTCTTGAGCCATTTTTCACGTAGTAATGAGTTTTTCAGTTTTCATGAGCTCATATGTTATCTGCTGCTTTGTTATTGATGTACACATTTAACCCACAGTCATTACCGAGGATGTTATTTCAATTTTATTGCATTTCTTGAGACTTATTTGTGCCCAAGCATATTGTTATTTTTGGAGAAAGTTCTATAAGCTGCTGAGAAAAAAAAGGTATATTCTTTGGTGCTTAGGTGAAATGCTCTGCAGATATGTGCTAGGTCCATTTGATTCGTGACATCATTTAGCTCTAGAATTTCTGTATAGTTTTTGTCTGGCTGACCTGTCTATTGATGAGAGTGGGATACTGAAGTCAGCTGCTATCACTCCATAGGTCATTCCGTGATCTTAGCTGTAGTGGTGTTTTCTGTTATGAATTTAGATGCTCTTGTGTTTGATGCATGTTTAGAATTGGATTATCCTCATGGCAGATTTTTTCCTTTGATGGGTGTGTACTGTCCTTCCTTGTCTCTTCTGATTTTTTAAATCTTTTTTGACAGATATTAAAATGGTTACATCTGCTTGCATCCTAGGTCCATTTTCTTGGAATATTTTCCATCCTTTTACCCTGAAGTAATAACTATTCTTGATATTAAAGTGTGTTTCTTTGTTGCAATAGAAAAATGGATCCTACTTTTTGAACCAAACTGTTAGTCTGTATCTTTTCATTGGAGTAAGAAGACCATTAATATTGAGTTATCAATGAACTGTGTTTATTAATCCTATTATTTTGTTGTTACAATGTGAGTTTATCCCCTCTTTTGATTTTCTGGTCTGGTGTTATATTCCTTGTGCTTTCTTGACTGTGATTAACCTCTACAGCTTGAAATTCTTCTAGAACCTCTGTAAAGCTCTGCATTCATATGTAGATATTGCTTACATTTGATTTTATTGAGGAGTGTTTTTCTTTCTTCTTCTATTGTGATTGATAGTTGTGCTAGATATAATAGTCTGGGCTGGCATCTGTGATCTCCATAGAGTCTGAAGAACATCAGTTCAGTACCTTCTGGCTTTTACCATCTCCACTGAAAACTGGTATTATTCTAATGGTTCTACCTCTACATATTAGTCTTCTCCCTTGAAGTTATAACATTTTGTTTGAAGTTTTGAGTATTATGTATTGTGGGGAATTTTTCTGGATCTCTCTATTTGGTGTTCTGTATTATGATTCTTGGACCCTGATAGGGACTTCCTTCTTTAGGTTAGGTGATTTCTCTTCTACAATTTTCTTGAAATATTTTCTGTGCCTTTAATCTGGATTTCTTCTCCTTCCTCTATTCCTATTAGTCTTTTCATTGTGTCCCAGATCCTGGATGTTTTCTGCCTGGAATTTTTTTTTAATTTAACATTTTCTTTGACTATAGTATCTATTTCTTTTATCTTCAACACCTGAGATTTTCTCTTCCATGTGTTATACTCTATTGGTGAGGCTTACCTCTGAGGTTTTTGTTTGACTTCCCAAACACTTCCAGTTTTCAGTTAAGGTTTTCTTATATGGATCCATTTATTTGTTAAATTCTAATTTCATACTGTGAATTGTTTTTATTATTTCATTCACTGTGTTTTTGCAGACTTTATTAAGGTCATAATAGTTATTTTTTAATCCTTGTCTTGTGCCTCAGCTATATTTCTCAGGGACTAGTGTAGTAGGATTAGTGGGCTCTAGTGGAGCCATATTGTTTTGGCTGTTTTGTTTTTGCACTGGTGTCTAGGCATCTGGGATTGGGATGACTGTGATCCTAGGTCTTGATACTTGGTCTTGTCCTTGTTGGATGGGTATTCCACTTCTTTGTTTCCATTGGCCTCTCTGGATCTATGGTGGCTATGGACTGCCTGATACAGAGTATTTCTGTAGGATGGTGGGTGACAGGAACAGAAGCAAGCAAGACAAAAGGAAGAGAGGGGCTTCAGGAAAGAGCTAAGGGGATCCTGTTCATACCTAGTGGCTGGGTGTACTCCAAGATTTGGTAGAGTCCCCTGAGACTGGAGGTATGGTAGAAGGACAGGCCCCTGCAAGCATCTACTACAGATCTAGGGATGAGACTGAGAGGGAGGGAGGACAGACAATAGAATGAAGATTGCCTACTTGATTCCTAGCCTATGTGTTCGTTTTTTGAGTCATAATTTCATACTGAAGCCCAAGCTGACCAGGAATTCACTGTACAGCCCAGGATGGTCTCAGTCCAGAAGTACAACTGCCTCAGTCTCCTGAGTGCTGTGATGTTAGACATGAACCACCACATCTAGCTTCAAAGGTTTTGAATTTTTTCTTAATAATCAAAAAAATGAGACATAATTTGCTTACAGTAATATTCAACACTTTTGTAAACTGTTTTGAGTTCAGAAAAGAGTTATAAAGCTATCATTTGAAGGGCTAGAAAGATGGCTCAGTGCCTAAGAGTGCTAGTTCACAACTACCTATAACCAGTATGACATAAGTGATTCTCACACTACCAAGTTTGGCTGCCAGTGCAAAGTACAACTGTGGCTGCCTCCGGAACACAGCTTCTTTGTGCTGACTCATAAAAAACAGTTCTCAGAAGATTTCACCTCAGTGATGCTTGTTCCTTCTTACTCACTGCTAATGTCTCAAGGTCTAGCTAACCAACATCAATTATCCCAGTATAGCAAAGGTTTCACTTCCATGGTGCCTGTCTCTTGTTAATCACTGCTGAGTTCCCAGACCCAGACACCACAGATCCTTCACACACATGGCCCAATAGTGTCTTTGCTTTCCCAGTCGGGCATCCATCATCTGCACTGTTCTCAACATTCTTATCTTCCAAGTTTTACGGAACAACCCACTGATATCGCAATATTCAATGATGTTCTAGCCCAATGTTCCAAAGTCCTTCCACAGTACTCCCCAAAACACATGGTCAGGTCTCCCACAGCAATACCCCCACTTATGGCACCAACTTCTGAGGATCACTATTGCTGTGGACTATCCAGAACAACTGCACACCGTAAGTACCTACTTCCTCCAATAAGCCCCACCTTCTGTCTCCACTATATCCCTCACAGTACCATAAAATCATGAATTCATCAGTGAGTTGACCCTCTGATTATTTCAGAGCCCTCACAATCTAATCACCCCTCAATTATTGTATCGGCCAGCTGGGGACAGCACCTGCAGCATGTGAGCCTTCTGTGAGAGTCTGAACCACCAAGCTGTAAGAGATGTATTCTCATCTGGCTCTGCCCACTACAAGATCAGTCTTTTGTCAATAAAAGCCACTCCAAGGTGGTCCCAGTGAAGAACCAGCAACTTTTGTTCAAACTCTGTGCCCTCCCCTGCCTTCCCTGCTGTTCACTTCAAGTCACTTGTCTAAGAAACTGGGGGGAGGGGGGATCTTCTGGCCCAGAGGAGAGAAGGAAGAAAGCCTAAATCTAGGCTTAAGGATTTGAGCAGCCTGCTGAGAATTCAAGCTCCTGCACAACCCTAGTTGGTTCACCTGAAACAACCCACTTGCCAACTCTCTGGCATTTCCTGACAGCACTGGCCACCTCCCCAGACCTCTCAATCCATCTTGTTGCCCAGCTCCTCCTGCTTCTATTCTCTCTCCTTATTGAGGTAAGGCACCCTCAGCTGCTGTGAGATATATCAGGAATTATCCTGCCACTGATTGTGACCTCAGAGTATTCTGACCTTGGAATGGGCCTATGGGCCCTGCTAGCTCAGAGCCATGGAATTATGGTTCCTTTGGTGCTTGACACCCAGAATCATGGCCAGGATCAACCCTAGTGGAGTCACTTAAGAGTGTGCACACTATGTAGCTCTGCTGGTTTGCTTGCTCCCAGAACACCTTGGGCCTGGGCCTCCCATCTGACTGAGGCTTCTGAGTGTGACAGCAAGGCCCAGCTGTGGGGCTACAGCAGCTTTTCCCAATTGCAACTTTCTAGGCAGGAGCAGTTCCAGGGATTTGTAAACCAAGTCCTAATCACTGTCACTTTGGAGATTTAAGCTAGACTACCTGGTAAGCTCCAGCAACCTGTGCAGCCCTGAAAGAAGAGCCCCAGGCCAATTAGTGCAGCTAGTTACTGCTGCAAGATGGCAGTAGAGATGTCTGGAATGGGTGTCAGGAGTCAAAAGATTCCCTGGACAGATTGTAGCTGGCTGCAATCAGCCAGCTGATAGGGTCATCACGAAAGTGGAAGGCAGACAGCCAGAAGGGGCTCTGCCACATTCTTGTCACTCCAGACTATGCCATTCTGGAGCCCAGGATCCCTAAGCATTTTGTCAGGTGGACGCAAACAAAGCAGCTTTCTTCTGGAGCTCTCTCCCTCTTCCCACGACAAATAAGCTAATAGCAATCTTCTCCATCAGTGGGGAGGGTTATACGAGCTCAACAGATGCCACTCATGACTTCCTACTCTTGCCTCTGCTCTGGTGGACTCCTCTTCTAGCCACAGCTGTGAGGGACACAGCCTAACTCCCTCTGTGATGGACTCGAGAGGCCACAAGAAGCCCCGCCGGCATAAGAAAAACAAAATCAAGACCCAGGAGAGACTGATCAAGAAATTTCCTTACAGGTACAAGATGCCTACACACTTAGGGCTGAGCCCAGTTACAAGTCCCATATTGCTCCCAGGTTCCCAGAACACAGTGTGCTCTGAGGAGCTAGGGCTAGGAGGAGAGACTTTAGTCCATGGGGCACCTGAGGAATCCTGTGCTGTGGCCAACAATGTAGCTCTCTCTCCCTTCTTCACCTGCTGCCCCAGTCCAGGTGAAACGCCACATTTTTTTGTAATGCACTGAGTATGGGGCCAAACAGAGAGATCCAGGTGTGAACCCTTGTAGGTGGCTGCCTGTTGTAGGCACTTAACCACTCAAGGGCCCTTCTAGGTTACCTCATTTGACGGAGACTAGCCCATCATCCCCACAATCTTGGAAGGTCAAGAGCAACTCACTGAAGGACAAGCTGCCCTTACAGAAGAATCTGGTGCCAACACGGTCCATCCCCATCCCAGGGTAAGTCCCTGTAATTGGCTGCCTTTGATGGTCATACACAGGCAAATGTATCTTGTCAACATCACTCCACCCTGAGGGAAACCTCAGTCACCTTCAGACAGGTGTTCTCATAGTCATCAGACATGTGACTACAGTGCTCCATCCTAAACAGGCACAGGAAACAAGAGATTCCACCAAGCTACAGTGTACCTGCCACACAGACATGATAGACAAGCTGATCCATCCTGAAGGACTTACAGGGCCAGGTGGCAAAGGGTGGCCTGGCACTCCAGCCCCAGCCCAATGCCTCAGCCCCTCCCTCAGAACCCATAGTTATTGTTCAGTCCCTGTGCATCAGCTCTGGCCAGTCACCAGTATGTACATTTACACCACAGCACACTCAAAGAGCCAACATGAATGAAAGGGTGCACACACACACACAACCTGGCCCTGGTCTCTGGGAATCCAGAGCAAGAATTCTCTGACATCTAAATCAAACCTCCTAACTGAATCCATGGGGAATTTGCTGCTGAGGCTGTGGTCAGAAAGCTGCTAAGTCTCTGTATCTCTGTCCCCATTTGGACATATTCTGCAAAATGGAAGCAGTTGCAATCCAGGACAGAATGTAGAAGTCCAGTCTAGCCATGTTAGAGTGAGTGTTGGGGCTGACCCTACATACTCTAAACCATGTCTGTGCCAAGACCTAGTAGGTTGTAGTCAAGATCCCAGGCCAAAGGGTAAAGATACTATGACCTACCATGGGCAGGAAGTACAGAGACCCAAAGAGAAGCCCACATAGTGACAGACGTTTTAGGCAGCACCTGATGCTATGGGTCACAATGAAACCAGCCTAAGAGAATTAACTCTTGGGCTGCATCGAAGCTAGGCATGTGGGAAATTGGTTCTTCCCCCAAATGGAGGAACGGCCAGGACTCAGGAGCTAGGAAAGGAATGTGGTGGCTGGGCATCCTACCACACTAGAACAGATGAGCGTGGGACAAGTGGGAGAAGCCTCAACCCCATAAGGTCCTCTAGCTCTGAATCTTTGCCTGCTTCTTGCTAGAAGTCCATCTAAGAAGGCCAATTGTGGAGTCCAGGGCACAGAGAAAGGAGAAGGAGCAAGGGAAAAGAGGAACAGGGACCTTGAAGGAGAAGTCCAAATGTAAGGGACTTCACTTACAGGTGCCATAGGGGGAAGAGAGCAAGGACCCACCTAGTGAATGTGTGAAGGTAGTCTCAGGTAAGAGGAGCCAGTCTCAGGTGGGAGAGGCCAGTTTCCGAGGACAATTTCAGGTGGGGAGCTAGGGATAGCTTCAGGTAGGTGGTAACTACAGAAGAAAATTAGCATGACTTAGTTGCCCCTATCAACTGACATAACTCACCAAATGGATAAGCAGGACTAAGGTATACCCTAAGCTCTGCCCATGGAGGCCCAAGAAGTAATAGGAATCTGTCATGTCCAGCTTGGATTTCCAAGGCTGGAAGAGCAGGTAGCAGGGATAGTGTGTGAAGCTGCTTCCTGGGCCTCTTTGGCAGCCATTGGTTACAGAGGCTACTTACAGGGCTGGGACAGGCCTGGCTGGAGACAGATCTGTCAATAGCCTTCACAGTTATGGCCCTGTCTGCTTGGCTGGTTGAAACCTGCAGAGTTCCCTGGGTCAAGTGTGGTTCTGTGTGTCTTCTCTAGGCTCGGCGCTCCGGAAGTCACATGGCCACTCAGCTTCTACTCACCATCCCCACATCCCCCACTGTGTAACCTCTGGGAACTTAAATTACTGCAGCTCCGTTTCCCCACACAAGACCTTCCCAAGCTGCCTCCTCCGCAGGCCGCTGCTGACCAGCCCTCCACCAGAAGGACTTCAGAGCCATCTGAGAGCTTTCCCTAGAACACCTGCTTTTCAAGGCTCTTTTCTTAGCCTCATACTCTGCTCCAGCCAGCTGCCTCAGAGACATTCGTAAAGGGAGCAGCCTTGTAGACAACCAAAAACCAGGAGTGGTCCATCCCCCACATGCAAAGACCATACAGCACCAATAAACGTTGCAGGTTCAAATCCCATCTCTGATTGGATTGGTCAATTTGCCCCTAATTTCTCATCTTTTAAATGGGTAAAATATTTAATCATGAAGCCTTGGAGTAAAGATTAAAAAGAGCAAATGGCATTTCTAGAGCTTTATCCAAATGTACACACACATAAATCAAGGTATTGGAGCAATAATGGTAATCATTCCGGTAGTTGGAAATAGCAAGAGTGAGAAGCCAACTAAATTCCTCTTAGCAGGCATTACTGATGCTCACGGCTACACCCACACTCTCAGGCAGCAGTTAAAAGAAAGAAGCAACTATGTATTGGTATGGAATGATCTACAAAATATAGTAATATTTTTAAAGCATAGAAGAAGTACCTGAGATGCTGTCTTGCGTATATTAAAAATGTGTATGTCCGTGAGTCTCTGTGTGTTGACTGTAAGAGGACATGTTGACATGTGAGAATCCATGCCAGCAACCTGAGAATATAGCTCTGCCCTTCTAGCCAAACTGGCCATCTAAAGTGAGCCTCATTAGTCGGTGCCACATTAGAAGGTATGTGCGTGTAACCCTCAGCAGCATGGATAAGCACTGAGGGGTGGCAGCACAGCACCTGGAGTCACCTGGATATAACACACCTGAGAGTGTGGCATTATAGCTGGGTGTCCCTTTCATCAGATGGGTTCTATTGGGGACTGTGTGGAAGCTGAGTAGAGCTAGGAACCAAGGTGAGTGATACGGAAATAGGTGTGAAGTGGCTGAGCCCTCAAGTGAACTGTAACCGAGTGAGGGCCAGAATATGCCTAGCAGAAAGGTTGGTGATCACTGGTGTGACTACAGGCTCCAGCCTCTCACTCCAGTTCTGCTAGAAGGGCAGAGCTATGGTCTCAGGTTGCTTGGAAAGACTCCAGGCCCTGGGCTCTCCATGTTCCTCCAGTGGAGGGAGGGACAGGCTAGGGTAAAGGATTCAGCCAGCCAGCAGCAGCAGTGGCAGTTCATTCCTGGTCAATAGAGGCAAGGGTCCTGTACACAGTTCTGTGACAGCTCATAGACAGGTGCCCTGAGGGCCTCAGGCAGGTTCCTATGAGGGAGATCCCAGTAGGAGCAAAGGACAGGGGTGAATCTGACTGACTGGGCAGGCAGACCACAGGGCCCCTCTGCACCCCACAGACAGGGTGTGGCTTTGTCTGCTCTGTCTGTGAGCTGCCTGAGGTTCTTTACCTGATAGAAATCTTTGTGGATGAGGAGAAACCCTCCTGTGCTGGCAATCTCAACCATGAATGCCTAAGGCCCAAGAGCTAGACTGGCAACTCAAATCCTCAGAGCCAGGGCCCTGTTGCTCCAGGCTGTAGAGTCCAGAGAGTAAGGGCTCCCAAGCTCAGATCAGGAAATCTCTTAGCTGTCCTTTAGCCAGCAGTACTGCACAAGGCAGCTGTAACTCAGCTTCTGACAACAGTGAACAGCACCAACAGCAACGGACAGTAGATGACAGGCCACAGCAGCAGACAATGTCTGTGACTGCCACAACTTCTGGACAGGTATTGGGTGTCAGATTCCTCTGCTCCTACAGTAAATATGATGTCCGTGCCCCGGTGTTCACAGCCATCTTTCTTCAGCCCAGCTCTTGGCCCCCTCTCTACTGTCTCTAGTCTCCTCTCCATAATGTCCGCTCCCTGTCATTCTTAGCTGCTCTCCTGAACTCCAGCTGCCCTCTTGCTGCCACCATCACCACCACCCATGGGCTGCTGTAGAGGTGACCTAGGTTCTGTGGTCACTTTGCTCTGATCTGCCTGACACCTTGCATTCTTGTGCCACTTAGCAGCAGAGGAAACAGGTTCAGAGACACAGCGAGCTGCCCAAGACCTGGCAGGTACATGGCTCAGTGAGAAACTCCTCAAAGTGAAAATGTAACAAAACATATTTATTTTTAAAAAAAAAAAAACAGCGAGCTGAAAAAGCTTCCACCGTATTGCATCCTGGCTTCTGCAGACACAGGGAAAGATCAGCATCTTTCAAGACTGAGATCATAGGTAGATCAGCCAGGTAGATGTGGAGTGGTACTGCTCACCATCCTGTGACTGCCGGGGTGGCAGGCAGCTCATGTTAACTCCTAAACAGTAACTGCTGACGAGGATGGCCATTCCTCTCACCCCGAAGCTGCCCAAGGCACAGCTTCTCTCTGGCCATGTCTGCCCTTGCCAGGCTGAGAGAAGAGAAGATGGCACAGGGCTGGACCACAGGCCACACTGAACCAAACCATGGCATTCTGTCTTGTAGCACCATGCCATGGACAGGTTCTGCACAGACTAGACTGAGAAATGGCTCTCACAACCAAAACAACAACAAAAAAAATACAAAAACAAAACCACAAACCTGGGGTCCTAGGAAGAAACTTGACATCTGCAGGAGGAGGAAGAAACACACCCATCAAACTAAAGGCAGAAATGGCCAGAAGCAAGCTATGCCCTACCCAGTCGGAATGAGTCTGGCCAATGTGGCCAGGATCTTGGTCAGGCCCACTGGATAAGGCATGACAATGAGTCTCCAATCCACACTACCAGGTTCTTTCCAGACCTCCTGGTGGCCTCTTGGTCACAGCACTCACAGGCCCTATTGCACCCAACACCCTTATTGCAGCCGCAGGTAGGAGGGGGCGGAGTAGTTGAAGAGCAGAAAGTCCATCTTATAGAGGTCAAAGAGGCGACGCTGGTAGAAGGGGCTAATGTCCTGGAAAAGGCGCCGGGCCTGATCACGGGTCAGGTCCTTCTCTGGCCTCCGCGGCGGAGCAGGGAAGCGGAGGCCAGGCTCACCCACCAGGTCCAGCACGAAGGCGGCATCATCTGCCAGCGTCTCGAACTTGCCCACTACGTCATAGCGCACTAGGCACGGATGGCATAGCGCATGCGCGCGCTCCCAGTGCTCGTTGAAGGGCTCGTGGCGGCGCGTGCGCGGATCGAGCAGGTAGGCCAGGAACTCCGCAAAGCGCACGTCATGGCCGCGGGCCAGCGCGTCGGGCTGCGCGTGCGGTCGTAGGCGACGCACGATGCGCGTGCCATAGCGCCGCTGGAAAGCCGCGCTGTGTGGCCCGGCCAGCTTGTTGCGATAGGCTGAGGCCAGGCGCTCGAAGGGCTCGCGCACGAAGAGGAAGGTCAGGTAGTCGCGCAGCCGCCTGTTGACCTCAGCCGGTGCAAAGTCGGCCAGCGAGGGCAGCAGGCCAGGCGCATGCGCCTCGTGCGCAGGGATCGCGCCCGGGTCCCCACGGCCGCTCAGAGCCAGCAGCACGCGCTTCCAGTTGGTGCAAGCCACCTTCGGCACGTAGCAGTACAGCAGCCGGTGTGCGTCGTCCACCAGCACGTGTCGCAGGTCCTCCGGCTGCAGCAGGCGTTGGCGTCGAGTGTAACGGCTGCAAGCCCGGCGGAGCAGCTCGCGCCGCTGCTTGTGCACCTCAGCCATCGCGGAGGGCGAACCCTGCAGAAGACAAGGGATGGTGGTATTAAGAGTACAGCGGATTCCAGGGAGTGAGACTGCACAGATGATATGCACCCAGGGACTCAAGCAGGGGATCCCCGACTGGAAACGGGAAACCCAGAGGTGGCACCAGTCTCTGCCTGGTCTGGAGTCAGAATCTGCCCGGGAATTGGGAGAAATGAAGTCTAACTGTTGAGGCAGGAAGGATGTGAGGAACTAGAGATGCTGGTACTGTGTGGACAATAGGATTGCAGAGAATTAGTTGTTGCAGGACTGGGTAAGCTGGATAGAGAAGGATGGCCCAAGGAGGTCATGGCACATCACCGCAGACACACATAGACCATGTCCTCCACTGTAGGTTTAATTTCTGCTGCCTCATTGTGTCTTCCCTACCTCACCCACTCTAACAAGGACAACAGAAAGGCTGTGCCCTGGTTATCATTGGGGCATTAGCATCCCTTGGCAACAGCCATTCAGCTACTTGTAGGATATTGGGCTTTTATGTATGTGGTGGTTAAATAAATGTATTGATTCTGTATTAATAAATAGGCACGTTTCTTTGGTCATTGCTTTATTTACTCCCAGCAAAGTTTCTTATTTTATGTGTATGGATGTTTTGTCTGCATGTATATTTGTGTGCCACATACACTCAGTGCCCAAAGAGGCCAGAAGAGGGCGCTGGATCCTCAGGACCTGGAATTACAAATGGGATGAGCCACCATATGGGTGCTGGGATTTGAACCTGGGTTCTCTACAAGTGCTCTTCATGCTAATCCATTTCTGCAGCCCTCCACCAGAAAGTTGTAATCTTAGTGCTTGGTCAGGAAGCTTGACCTTTTCCAAGCCCATCTTTCCTCTGTAAGAAACAAAAACAAACCAAACAAAAATAAAAAATAAAATCAGCCACCAGCATTCATCTAGCCCTTCCTTTATGCCAAACACAGTATAGCTGTGTGAATTAAGTCCTATTAAGAGGACCATGGACATGATCCACTTACCCTGCCTCAGCCATGTAAAGAACCAGGCTGTGCTTACAGAGTATCCATTCAAATTTATTCTTCTTCAAATAGGTTCCTCATCTCTAAGAATAGATCCTGCCGCCCTCATGAATATGAATTATGAATTGGAGGAGGTGTAACCACCTAGGGTGCAAGGCACTGTTAAAGTCTGCTAGTTAACGTATTAATGATAACTGTACCACCCTTTTGCTGTTCATTTTTCTGAAAATAAAGACATTAGGGAGTAATTTGGTTCCCTGATTAGCAGCTGCCAGACTTCCCATGGCTCTGCTGAGTAAAGGGATGGCAGCCAAATAGTCAAACTCCCCTCATGCCAGCATGAGCCATCTTGAACACTACAGACACCTTGAGAAAGCTACAAAGATCCCAACTGCTTCCCCTGGCTCCAACCAGGCACGGCTTCAACCAGGGGTAGGGGAACTGGGTTTTTTTTCCAGACTTTTGTTATTACATGGCTTAACAAGATCTAGAAAACCCAGCAGCCATTTCTACCTGGGTCACAGGGAGAGCAAGTGTCTAATCTCATCTGTCCCTGTGCCCCAGGTCCTTAATTGTTCCAAATCCAAGCCTCTATGCCTGTGGCATGCTAAAGAAACAAATGGCTGTTTGGTACCAATGCCCCTTCTTGGGCTGTGTGAGCAGAAATTGACTGCTTCTCCGTGATGCCCTCTGCACTGTTCCAGCTATTGAAGCATTGGACCATTGGGTCCTTCTCTGGAGGGTCTTTTCTTGGCTTCTTTCTGTATTGTGGGCTGTGATGGTAGCAGGGAGAAGGCAGGAGAAGCAACTGCTGCACCTGAGCTGAACCAACGCACTCTCCAAACATTGGAGAATGGCCAGGGCAGGAAGAAGGGAAAGGAAAGACCAAAGAGGGGTTGAAGAGCTGGGGTTGAAGAAGAGCTAGAGAAGGGGAGAGTGCATATCCTTCTTGCTGGAAAATTCTAGAAGGCTGCCGGATCTTTAGGGCCCATTGTTTCAGATGTAAGCCTAAGCATTGTGATGGTAGCTCATGTGAAGGGTTAAGGAAACCTGACTCTGCACTGACATAAAAGCAGCAGTAACACTAAAAGCCCCGATACTTCGGTATATAGTATATATACTATAGTATATTGGCTAAATACTCAACATAGTCTATAGTCTATATACTCAGTGCATAGCCTGAGTAAGAGCTATAACACTGTGGGATACCCCTTACTGCTGCTCCCCCCTGCCTACCCATAGCTTACAGCTGCCAAACAACTAAAAAATAAAAATAAAGCTTGTACATGAATGCTCATTATTCCTATTGGAAACAGTCTAAAAGTCCATAATCTGACAAATAGAAAAATAGTGTATGGAATATCTATAACAATATTATTCAGCCATTAAGTGGAATGAAAGTACAATAAATACTACAACACAGATCAACCTTGAAAGCATTATGCTGGGGTAAGGAAGTCAGGCCTAAAAGGCCAACCATTGTATGATTCCCACAACCACCACCACCCTTTTTTTTCCTGACACAGAGTAGCCCTGACTGTCTTGGAACTTGCAATGAGACCAACCTGGCCTTGAACTCACAGAGATGCTCCTACCTCTGCCTCCCAAGTGCTGGGACTAAAGGCATGGTTGTATAATTCCTTTTGGATGGAAGGGTCAGAACAGATAATGTTCAAGCAGGAAGTGGATTAGTGGTTGACAAGGGCAGAAGAGAAGGAAGAGGAATGGCCACTAATACAGGCACAGACTCTCTTGGGATAATGCAAGTATTCTTGAATTAGCAAGTGGTGAGGCCACACGGCATCGTAAAATATGAAAACCAGCCACTTCAAAAGAGTGAATTTATGTTGAGTTATTTCAGAATATTTTCAGCTCAGAGGGCACAGCAGAGGCAGAAATGGTGAAGTCCCAGACCCAGACCCAGACCCAGACCCAGACCCAGACCCAGCAAGAAATCATGGTCGCTGGTGGCATGAGAGCATGTGGGTGTGTGTCCACATGTATACGTGTGTTTCTGAGAGCATGTGGGTGTGTGTCCACACGTACACATGTGTTTCTGGAGCTTTTAAAAGTGTTCTGCAGAAGTCTAGGATTCATTAAGTGGCTTGCCCTTTGTGTTTTATGAGAGAGGGAAGAAACTAGCATTTCAGAAAGGATGAGTGGGAGGGCACCTTTTCCCTCAAGAGGTGATGGAGCCTAGAACCCACAGGCTAGGACAGGCTTTAGAGCTGGAGGGAGGGAGGTGGTGATGTAATGAGGGGTCCTATGTCAGTCATCCTGCATGAGTTAGTTCAAAGGAGATCTAAGCAGAGACGAACAAGCAGAGACACACCATCTGAATCCCAGAAAGTGACATTTTAGAAGAGCTAAACTGTACATGCCTGGAACTTGCCTGGAAAACCACAGAAGGATCAGCCACCATCTGGGGAGGACCAGGGCCTGGTTGAGGAGAGCTGTGCTTCACTGAAGTTCCTTTTGACTATGCCAAGTTCAGCCATGGCCATAGGGTCTGTGGGCTCTGAGAAGATCTTATCATTTGAAGCTATATTCGGAGCCCCACAGGCCAGGCTGGCCTCAACCTCCTTAGAGCCCAGCACATCCTTGTGGAGGAATGCTGGCCACTCTCCTCCCTCTTCCTCAGCTGACCCACAGTGTTGGGAGCCATTTCTAGCCTCAGAAGAACCAGCCATGCAGTGTCATACTGTCACAAAAGACATGCGTGTAAGGTATGTGGCCTAGCTCTGAGCAGAGATGTGGGGAAGTCAGCCATATGCTCCTGGGAAAGGCTTTTCCTTAGGATACAAAGCAAGAAGGCATGGTGGGGGGATCTAAACCTTTATCCACCCACCCAGTCTTGGGATCCTCTTCAGTGAAGATGGCAGTCATCTTGTAGCCATGAGACTGCAAATCTGTAACAGAAGTAACACTCAGAGGATAACAGGGGGCAGTATGGGACTGCTGTCGCATGAGCTACTAGTCTTTTCATCAACACCACTGGTGTTTTTTGTTTTGTTTTAATGTATTTTTAATTGGATATTCTACTTATTTACATTTCAAATGTTATCCCCTTTCCCCATTTCTAACCCCCCCCAAGGAACTCCCTATCCTGTTCCCCATCCCACTGTTTCTATGAGGGTGTGCCCCCACCCATCCACCCACTCCCCCCACCCACCCTCAAAATCCCCCACACTGGCTGTTTTAAGACAGGCAACACTGTCTCGGCAGATGACAAAACCCAGGCTCAGGAGAAGTGAGTTGCCTGGGGTCATGGCATTTTGTGAAGAGGCTGACTCTTAAACTTAGGGTCCCTGGGACTCCACAGCTGGTATCACATCCTACACTGTAGCCCTTGTTCTTCCCGCTGAGCTTCCCAGCTGTCCAGCTGACTTGGGGCTTTATGAGCTCACTGGCATCTGCAGGGTCCTCAGTCCCTTGCTTCAGCTTCCTGTCCTGTCTGCAATCACAGTAGCCTACTCTCATGGTCCGAATGACACAGGATTAGTCCTCATCCCTCGACACTTCTAATGCTGCCATTTCTCTAGTGGCACTGTATGTGGCCTCTAAGGATTGGACTCCAACAGTCCCTGGATGCTGTTGCCTCTCTGAAGGCTGCAGAGCTGGTGGAATCTGGGATCCCCTGAAAGTCTGTCCTCCCCCTGATCAATGTGCAGCCAGGAGTAAGCCAGACAGCCTCTTTGGACCAAGACTTCCTTATCTGTAACCCTGGGGTGTGGCTAGGTTCAGCAAACATTCCTATGCAGCCCCGCTGTTCTCCACACAGCAGTCCAAGAGAATCTTCTGATCCTGCTGCTTCTGTTTAAAATCTGCCATGGCTCCCCATTGCCCTTGCCACAGTTTGGGCCCTGTGGCATGCTGCCTGCTTTCCAGGCTCACCGCAGACAACCTCTCTGCCCTCCTTGCTACCAGGTTGTTGGCCTGGCTGTTCCCTGTGACACTTGCTTTTCCTCTTCAAATCACAGTACAAGCCCCTTTCTCAGGGAGCAGTCTCTCCCCACATCTACCAGAATGCCCCGGGAGAGTTCCTTGTAACCCCCACTGCTCCCTCAGAGCACAACTCCGCTTCATGTAAGTGTCAGTACTGGTCAGACTATTCCCTACCCAGCTGTGCTGTCTGCTCTGTGAGGGTAAGACCCCAGTTCAGCTGTTTGTCATTCAATCTCATCACAAGCAGATAGCTTACATACAGTAGGTGCTCAATACATGCTATCTGTGTGTTCCTTTGGCTGTGAGCTAGGGTGTGATCTCCTAGTGGTATTCAGTCTGTCCTACTTGTATGACGTTAGGCTTCCTTTTCTTTTCTTTTTTTCTTTTCTCTCTCTCTCTCTCTCTCTCTCTCTCTCTCTCTCTCTCTCTCTCTTTTTCTGGCGGTGGCATTCAGAAGAAGCTGCTGCCAGTTTTGAATACAGACATTTTCCTGGGCTGGGGTGACATTGTATGTAGATCCCTCTGTGTAGGAGGAGATGACAGTAAATCCAGCTAGTACACACCACCTCTAGGAGAGCTGGTACATCTACAGTGTGCTGTACAGCCAAGTGGCCAGCCATCAAAGGTCCCAGATGGTAGGAGTGTTTTGATGTAACAATATTGAAGCAGGCCGGGTTCCTTGAGAGCCAACCCCATCCATCCTGAGCCAAAGAGTGTTTGTACTCTGTGTGTGTGATGGCATGTCTGAGGCTGTGTGCAGTCCCAATAGGGCCACTTGCCCCATCTGCTTGGAGAGGGGGCAGGGCTTCCTCTGAACATTCACTTGTACCACATACTAAAATTTAGGAACTTAATGACCATCTACTTAAACTCCTGGGACAGGCATAGGCTAATGACCATTGGGACAAGCATGACTTAATGAGCATCTATTCACTGGTCCCCTGGGACAAGCATGGTGATGTGTTACCTCTCTGTATCTGCAACACATAGCATCAGACAAGCACAGGCCTCAGCTGTGGCAGGAGAGGCAATAAGTGGAAAAATTGGACTTCCAGGCTAGACAGGAAGCTCTGATGCCCATACTGGACAAAGCCTAAGACAGTAGGTATTCAGGAGACTGTGGCCTCCTATCCAGGATGTAAGAGGGCATTCCAGCCACTTACCTGGTCCAGGTCATGCAATAGCTGTAAGGGACTCTTCCTCACTCCTCCAAACCAGCTGGAGCCCAGAGTTTTGTTTTCAAATGCTGAAAAGCATAAGGAAAGAGAGAGATCACTGCTGGCTTTGGACAGGTGTGTTTTGGCAGCACACCTGGGACATATTTAACCTACTTAATGTGACTCAGTTTCCCTCCTGTGTCTTCTTTTCCTCCTGGGTATTTGGTGGGTGGTCATCACTTATAGAGCAGTGTCCTTGGGGTCATTCTCACCCTCATGCCCTATGCTCTACCACTGAAGTGTGGCAAGTACAGGGGACAAGAGGAAAGGAGCTACCTGCCCTATGGGAAGAGCACCCAGCCCATCTGTTTCTATTCCCTGTCTCAGGCCCTGCTTCCCCACCCACTCTCTTGGGGTCCTGTGGAGCTCACAGGTCTGATGGCTGTCCAGCCCCTAGGTCTGGGTTGTGAGCATCCAAAAAGGACTGGCCAATGGCATAGCCAGGCTGTAGGCTGTCAGAGTGAGGTCACCAGACTGATTGAGGCACTGTGAAAGGCCCTGGAAGCCTGTGAACCCTGTAGAAGCCTATGCATGCCATGAGGTGTGGATGATACTCCTGATAACTGTAGCTTTGCCTATTCCTGAAACTGGACAGGGACCTCTGTGTCTTAGCTTGCATTCCTTAGTGTCCCTAAGACTACTGGGCTGTCTGCACACCTGGGCCGTGTGTGTGCACCTAGGATAAGTGAGGTTGCTTGGATCAAGGCTCATGCAGGAAGCTTGTCTTGAGGATGTTCATGGACACAGTCCTTGAACTTCTACAGACCCTAAAGAAGGGATGGATTCTGCTGTGTGGTTTTTTTTTTTTTTTTGACAGAACAACACCTTTATCAGAGAATGAGCTACCAGGAGAGGTGACAGCATTAATACAGCAACCGGCATCAAGGCTGCAACATGCCTGAATGACATCTCTCAACACCAGGGGAGAATGTATCTTTGCTATTCTTCAGTTTCCAGGGGCCACTCAAGGCCACCCTTGAAGGGGTCTTCTTAGAGCCTCATCAAGAACTGAGGGGCCATGGTTCCCTCTAGGTCTGTGGGCGGGGTTAGGGAGAGCAGTCTGGAAGGATCACATCACAGCAATCTTACCCCTAGACCTACACAGAGGTTCCTGTCCTTCCAGAAGTCACTCTTTGCCCAAGGCCTTCTGTTTCCTGGCCAGACCACAGCTGCCTAAGTAGTGGGTTCCATAACAGATGCCAAGGGCCAGTGGGTGGAGGACAGACACCAGGGGGCCCAGAATAGCTGTGGTCACAGATTACAGGGCTAAACTATCTCCACCCTACCAATGAAGAATCGAGGCACCAGGTCTGGCAATTTCAGGGAAACTACAGAAGGGATGGTGTGTTTGTGTGTGTGTGTGTGTGTGTGTGTGTGTGTGTGTGTGTGTGTGTAAGTTAATCAGAAAAGGTTGCTCTTATAGTCCACTCCACTAAGGACTTCTGACTCTAGCTCCAAATAAGGCCCCAGCATCTTCACCATCAGTCTTGCTTGGCCTGATCCCAGATGTACTCCCTCCCCTCTGCTAAGACACACAGAACAGAATGGAGAAGAGACAGCAGGTTTGTATAGCCAGGGAGGAGGGTGGGCAGAACTAAAACTTCCCCTAATCCAGTGGTTCTCAACCTGTGGGGGTCAAATGGCTGTTTCACAGGGGTTGCCTAAGACCATCCGTGTATCAGATATTTACATTGTGATTCATTACAGTTGCAAATGACAGTTAGGAAGTAGCAATGAATATAATTTTATGGTTGGGGCTCACCACAACATGAGGAACTGTATTAAAGGGTTGCAGCATTAGGAAAGTTGAGAACCACTGGTTAGGTCCTAACCCCAAGAAGCTGAACTGCAGCAGGGAAGCTGAAAACTACCCCACCTTATAGAGGGGAGAGAAGGAACAGAGGAAGGACTGAAGTGCCAATGAAAGGGGATAAATGGGGAGTATCTTGGAGTGCAGCTGAGAGAGTGCAGTGTGGAGGCAGAGAGCCTGTACTTTGGAAGGAAACCAGAGCAGGCCTGTGGGATGGGAAGCAGGCCTGGGACAAGCAGGAATATGCTGACTGTCCAGGCAGGCTGCCTCCCTCAGCTCTAGACACCAATAGGAGGAGCACCAGAACTTTTGGTTCCCAGCCTTAAGTAGACTCAGTGCCCATGTAGATGGAAAGAAATCCTGTAGAAGGTTCCATGGGCCACAGCAGAGGGCTTTGCCCAGGTTCCTGTGGCAGCACATGGTGGGACCGCTGGTGTCTGGGGCAGGTGACACTGGACACTGTGGAACTGTGCTGTGTGACACTGACCTGTGTTCTCCTGTCAGGTGGACACTCACTTTCCCAGTTGTTAGACAGGAAAACTGACAGTCAAGAGGCCAAACCACTCAAGGCTGACTGGTTCCAAAGAAAGAGTACATCTCAGGTTCCAATGTCTGCCCTGCTAAAGACCAGGCTTCTGCTTTTAGGTTTCTGCTCATCCTACACATCCACAAGGTCCCCCAGTTCTGCCTTACTAAGGAGGAAGTGCTAGCCATGGTGAGGAGGGGCAGAACACAGGGGTCAGAGGGTGAATTACAGCAGGACACACCCTGCAGGAACCTCTGGGCTGAAACACCTCAGAAAACTCCAAGAAAGCGGACCTCAGTCCTCAGTCCTCAGCATGCACTTCCAGCAGGAAGCCCCATGCCCAAGGCAGGGGAGGGCAGGTTGCTTTGGAGGATGGGGCGTGGGTGGGTGAGTCCAGCTCAGGGCACATTGCAACAGCCACTTCCTGGTTAATAAGTTCTCATTGCCCTGTTGCGAGATAAACCAACAGAAACACCACCAGGGGCTAGGTCAGAGCCTCAGGTTTGCTGGCACCACTCAGAATCTCCAAAAAAAGGCTTTTGGGAACCCCTACAATCCAGTGTCCTGGGCATTCTTTCCTGTGGTTACCCTGAAGGGAGAGTGGGACATGTTAGACAAGCTTTTTTATGGGAAGAAAGAGCATTGTGCCTCTTTCCAGTTATCTTTAAACTGTTCACTGACTTTGACAAGCCAGCTGCTGTGAGAGAATCCCTATCTGACCAGCCGTCACTGGATCCACATTGCAGCAGCCCAGCCTTGTGAATCACCCACAGGCCTCCCACTCCTCCAATGGACATATGTCCACATGGGTTCAAACCCTTCTCTTAGTACTGCTTTCTGTCCTAATTTGCTTTCAGCTGCTGTGATAAAGCACCATGACCAAATGCAATGTGGGGAGGAAAGGGTTTATTTCATCACAGGGCGCAGTTCATCAATGGGGGAAGTCACTCAACCCAGGCACCTAGGGTAAGGGACTAAAGCAGAGGCCATGAAGGAACACTGTCTACTGGCTTGCTCCCTGTGACTCACTCAGCATCTTTTTTTATACACCCAGGCCCACCGCCCAGGAGTGGCATGGCCCACAGTGGTCTGGGCTCTCCAACGGCAGTCACTAATCACAAAAATGTCCCTACAGACTTGCCTACATGCCAATCTGATGGAGACGTGTTCTCATCTGAGGTTTTCTCTTCCCAGATGACCTCTAGCTTGTGTCAAGTTGATAACAAGTTGATAACCACTCCACTCAGTTTCCCATCTAATCAATGTCTGGGGTTCTTTCAAAGTCTTCCCCAAATATCCTTGCTGTGTAAAGTAGAAAAAATAAAAGCCCAAATCATCATTCCAGGCAAGGATAACAAGGGAGCAAAGGAATACAAATAGACCCTAAGGGCAGCCATGAAGCTGCCACAGAGACCCTGTGGAGAGGCTGCTGTGCAGGGCAACTTCCCCATCTCTCCCAATGTGCCCTCTTCCTTGACTCTGAGCTCTAGGCCTCAAATCCTGACCTAACAATTCTTGGCTTAAGAAAGTGGCTTCTTTTCCGTTGCTCACACTTGCCTCCCTATTCCTACTTGAGCTGATCGACCTGCCAGAGACCATTTCTCCAAGGACTCTGAGTCTCCTGAGTTCTGGACTCCAGCAGGACCTGGTGGGTCTCTCGGGAGCTCTATAGCAGCAGCCACACTCCCTCCTTTTGCTAACCAGTCTGGCATTTAGGTCAAGGGGTCCTGAGACGCCTCTGCTTTCCCACTTGACAGATCAAACCACCACACCCCTCAGGGCTTGTCTAAGAGTAGATGGCATGGAGACCTGTGGCTTTTGTGTCAAAATACAGCTCCGTGAGGTGGGACCTATGTAAGTTCTCCAGCTCCCATACAGAGACCGTGTGGTGGCAAGCTCATCAGACATGTAGTTAGAGGTAATGAGCAGCAGGCCAAGGGAGCAAGGGAGCCCAGGGGCAAGGGGCATGCTGGCGACAGAGGTGTCTTCAGCAGCTGTCCCACTCCACAGTGCTGAGCCTAGACTATGATTCAGTGCTGGTAGAAGATCTTGGGCATGTGGACTAGAATGGGTTCTCTGCTAGAAAGAGACCAATGAGATGCCTGGGACAGCTAGAACCCAGGCATAACCTGTAACCCCTCAGTGTTCCATTTGCCCAGCAGATGGTGACAGTGACACCTCATTCCCTGGAGCAGGAAGAGACAGGACCTGTCTTGGTCTTACAGCTGGGCCCTGAGCTCTCCTTGATGCATAAATCTTTCCCATGATCCCCTTCTGACAGAGCCTTGACTGTGAAGATAGGGCATGTCCCCTTGAGGCCTGGCACAGTGGGATCCTGCCATGCAGCAGGACCAGACCTCCCCCCTGTCTCCCAGCCAGTGCCTACCATAAGCACACATTTCTCCCCTAAGGTGAATGGAGAGCTAGCTAGCTCTAGATGAACTTGGGCTCTTGCTGGCCCACGACTGACAAGTTGGCAGCTGGAAACCTACTACAGAGGGGTTTGAGCATCTAGAGGAGTGGCTGTCAACCTTTTTAGGGCCGAGACCCTTTCTTCATGTTGTGGTGATCCAACTATAAAATCATTTTTGTTGCTACTTCGTAATAGTAATTTCACTGCTGTTATGAATCATGATGTCAATATCTGTGTTTTCCAATGGTCTTAGGCGACCACTGTGAATGGGGCTGTTCAACTCCCAAATGGGAGAACTTCAGATCTAGAGACTGAGAGATAAGGGGTGGCAGCTGAGGAAGCTCAAGAGATCCATCTCAGACCAGGGAGGATGAAGCTAGGGTCAGTGGGGACTTCCCAGGGCAGACAGCATGAGGCTAGCCTGGGGTGACAGGTATAAATGTCAGCCCTACCTGAGCAAAGCTGGTGAAGGGAGAGCATTTAGCCCCTTCTCTATCCATGCTTACACTTTCTCTCCCCACGTTCACACTCCCTTCCCTCTAGGTCTCCTAGGTGAGGAGGGGGCCCAGGACTGTGGTTGCTTTTCTTCTCAAACTTAGCTGGAGGAGGTGGCAGGAGAAGTGTGTCCCAAAATGCATGAAAACACCCTGACAGCCACTCAGACACATGCTTGTCTGCAGAGACACCCCAGGGTCCAGACTTTCATACCCCACATACCCTCATACCCCACAGCAGTGTTTGAGCCCTGAGGGACTTGAGACACTGTCGTCCAGGACTGAGTAAACATTTGTCTACAATGAATAACAGGGTGGACGGAGACTGTGACATCAGCAGACACTGAGACCACACCCAGATTGTGCCAAGGGACACGTTAGACATAAGGAAGCACCTATACAGGAGTAGCCATTCACCTACAGGTCTGCAGTAATGGGAAGGCAGCTGCCTTCTGGGGGACTTCTGGGGGTTCCCTGGCGCAGCTAGTTACATCTGGTTATGGAGAGGTTTTTAATTAGCAGAGTGAGTAGACACAAGCTTGGTGACTACTCCTGAGGCCTCCCCAGTTATTTACCTGGCCTCTATCCCAGGGGTCCCTAAGGATGTAGCCAATGTGATAAAAGGGCTGGGGCCAAGCACTGTCTACTGTAACATTCAAGCTCACCCTCCCAAAAGCCCTGTAAGCATGGAGTCAGCGCCTATCCCATAGATGAGACTGATAAGGCCCTGGGAGGGGACAGATAGTAGTTAAGCTTGCCAAGTGACCTCCAATCTACATGCCTGGTCATAGAGGTCCTTCATGGATAGGTATCATTCTGAAAACAGTTTTCCCTTGTCCTGAGTCACTCCCAGCTAATGCCCCTATCCCCCCTTGGGTAAGAATCTATCTGGAAGCAAGAAGACTCCATACACACAGACTAGGGATGGGCAACCATCACAAACATAGCCTACTGCCCAGGTACCTCCAAGCCACTCCACACTTGACCTCTGCCCTCAGCTTTGTCTGTAAAGTGAGTTATCTGCCAGAAGATCAGAGGAGACCTAGGCTCATTCAGAGACTGACCACATGCCTGGTGGAAATTGCTACTAGCAGGTCGTGGGCCCTGTACCCCAAGGACAGCATAGAGCTGTGCAGTTCTTCTGTGGATGTATAGACTCAGCAGGATCTCAGATTAAGACAAGCATCTCGGCCAGAGCACAAGCTGACTTCTCAGGGCTCAGAGACTGGAGCAAAGGTAGCACAGACAGTATCCCCAGAATGACCAAAAGTTCCCCACCAGCAGCACAACCGGAGTCAGACAATGATCAGAGACAAGGAGGGAATGGAAGGCACCTGTCTTCCACCAGAGTCCCAGCCCAAAACAACAGAGAGATGCCAGGTGGCCCCAGAAGGTGCTCTAGCTGAGAAAGCAAAGCAGAGCCCCGGGCCCGCGCACTCACCGGGACGCAGGGCACGAGGCGCTGCGCACAGGAGCAGGAGCGTAGCACCCAGACTTGCCACCACAGGCAAGGGCCGCCGGCAACAGAAGCGCCTTCCCATGCTGTGCCTGGCGCGTGGCAGGCGACCTTCATCTGCATCGCGTTCTCTCACTGCGCGGCAGAGGTCCAGGACACGCCCAGTCCTGCTCTTAGTTTAGGGCCCTGCCCAGAAGCAGCGTTCTGTGCTCCAGGCTAGAGATAGACATGCGCCTGACTGACTTAATGGGTAAAGCTGTAACCCCAGGACAGTGAAAAGCAGTGTCTATCCCTGTTACTAGTCATTAGTCCTGGATTCTCTACTCTACACAGATGGGAATTAGTAGGGGAGAAACTCTCAGGTACAGGTGGCCCAGCCCAAATGCCTTACTGGCAGAGTCAGAGGCTGCAGCTGAGGTCCTGGGAGCCAAAGCCCTGTTGGTCAGAAACTCTGGCTTCAAGTGGTCTGGACGCTCAATGCCCTGGGCTTTAACCCTAGTAGAGGGCAGTTATTGTAAGCCTAGGCATAACAGCTCTGGTGGCCAGGCTTTAGAACTCTTGGTCCTCAGTGCTGGCAAATGTCACAGCTTTCAGGCCCTGGGGTGCTGGGACCCTCTGCCTTTAAGGCTCTGTAGCTTCTCCTCTCAGCCTGCCTTCTCCAGCCTTAGTCCTTGGCAATTTCTTGTCTCTTCTTTACTTCCCCTGGCCTTGCCTATGTAGCTTCTGCTCCCCCACAGCAGCCCCCTCAGTTCCATCTCTGGGGAAGACCACTTTGGAGAAACTCTCCACATGGACCATACAAGTGATCGTGAGCTGATTCTGAATAGAAGTGTGTGCACCAATCAGGGCATGGCTCTTCCTGAAAATTGAGGACTGAATTTGCATCAATCATAGCACAGGGTACCAGGGAAAAGACTCCCCCTCTGTTGTGAGTAAAAATGCCCAAGAGTCATGTTGATTTCCTCAAGGCTGATGATGGGCAGAAAGTCCTGCATCCTGCACAAGCTGTTTCAAACACCAGCGACTGAGACCATGAGTTGGGAGATTTGAGATCCAGCAGCTGAAGTCAGAACTCAGCTTCCCAAGGTTTCCAAGGAGAGTTCAAATCAGCCAGAAAACATGAGGATAGTGGGAAGGTGGTAGGACTGAAAGCCCTCACTGCCTGAGAAAGATCTAAGTGTCAGGATTACAAATCTTCTAGGACCCAGTATCTTAGCTTATGTAAAGAAAAATAAATAGCCTGTGGTTTAAACCCAGTTCTTGAGAGGCAGAGGCAGGCCAGTCTCTGTGAGTTCAAGAACAGACTGATCGCCAGGCTGTGGTGGCGCACGCCTTTAATCCCAGCACTTGGGAGACAGAGGCAGGCAGATTTCTGAGTTTGAGGCCAGCCTGGTCTACAGAGTCAGTTCCAGGACAGCTAGGGCTACACAGAGATACCCTGTCTCAAAAAGCAAAACAAACAAACAAAGAACAGACTGATCTACAAATCCAGGACTGAATTTGTATCCAGAAAAAAAACTGTCTAGAAAGAAAGAAAGAAAGAAAGAAAGAAAGAAAGAAAGAAAGAAAGAAAGGAAGGAAGGAAGGAAGGAAGGAAGGAAGGAAGGAAGGAAGGAAGAAAGGTAAAAGATAATTATTGAAGGAGTGCTTTGCAATAGAGACCTCTTTGTAGCTGTCTTCACAGTGCCTGACTCCTGCCCAGTGTCCCAGGGGCCCACAGTGACTTTTACGGTAGGAAGGGAGGTGAACTGCACCGCAGTGCACCACAGCAGCCAGAGGTGGGGGGGGGGGGGGGCAAGAATACGTGAGGAAGCCCATCTCTGACCTGGCTGTACCTGCTTACCATTTGCTCTGGGTGCCATCATCCACTCAGGACCCAGTCAAGTAGTGAAATGAAAAAAAAAAATGGGCCTTCTAATGCATTTCTTAACGCCAGAGCCAGATGGCCGAGCTGAACACAAGCCCAAGAGACCTGCGCATGACAGTCCTTCCCCTATCCCAGCATCAGTCACGAATGTTTCTTCCTTCCCCCAAGCACACACTATAAGCGTCACTTTCTTATGTGTCTTCAAGTCCCGCTCAAATCCCAGTTTGTCCAGGACTTGTCCAACCTCGAGGAGAAGTGAGGGATCTTGGTGATGTCTTCCTGGGCACTCAACCTGTTGTACCTCGCCATGTCACCCACAGCTGTTGCAGGCACAGACAGCTGCTGCAGGCACAGACACTCAGAGCTTATTTCAGACAGGAGATTTGCTTGTAGAGAGACACCAGAGTGAAGTCCAGCCTTTCAAAGATAAAGAAAGGGTTGGGAGTGTGTCTTAGTGTTAGAGGGCTTTCCTAAACTGTGAAGCCCTGGCTTACACCCTGATGCCACAAAACAAAAATCAACAGTAGAGAAAGACATCCAGCGAGCGCTGTGGGGTGCAGACTGCACCTGATCTCAGGGTCTTGCTGCCCTCATGCCAGCCTCGTAGGGAACCCAAATGAGCAGCTGGCCCTGTGTGCACAGGAAGGGCATAGCTGATCCAACATTTAGCCTTGAGTGTGTGGGATGAGGTGTTGCACCCAACACTAGCATCTTACCTGCCATCTGTACTCCATTTCCCTGTACAATGGGGATAATGTGAAACCCCACTGTGTCGTGGAAGGTAAATGGGAAGCAGAGATATTTGAACAGGTGCAGCAAGTGCCATGTAAGGACTTGATATTAGTATTCAATAATCCTAATTGGTGCCTCTTACAGCAATGATCTATTATCAATTAATGAAGACTATGAAACAAATAACATTTATATATTTAGCTCCAAATACCTACCTCATTTTGGGGTAGGAACCCAGCTCACACTAAAACCACATCCTTCTCAGGATGTTTCATCCTCAAGGAATTTCTGCTTCCTTTCAGCCCAGCCCAGAACCCAAGGATGCTGGATTACCCATAATACCTATCTGCCCCAAATCTCACCCAAACTCACAGGGTTCCTCAGACCAGAACCTAGTCCAGTCTTCCTATCTTCAGTGTGTTTTGCCCTTCTAGGCTGCCACCTGGTGACCAAACTTGAGAATAACAGCCCACTATTGTTCATAGAGTTGAGCATCTATGGAAGCCACCAGAAAGATTGGAACCCATGTGTAGATGCCTGCCTCCAGGTGCAGGTCCCTGGTAGCTCCCTGAAAAAGCATCCTTCTGCCTGATGCAAGAGCCCTGAGGTGCATGTCAACTATAGCTAAGTAGCAAATTACCTTGAACTTTGAAAACGTCCAAAAACCACTTCAATGCTACGGATCAAGAACTATGGAAGGGTCCCAGTTGTATGCTTCCCCCAGGGGCCCCATGCTGTTGCAGTCAGATGGTAACAAGATGGCCACCATCTTATCTGGAGGCCTGCCAGGCAGCACACTAAATGGATCATGGTTGTATGGATGTATGTAACTATCTTTCTCTGGTGCCCAGAATCTTGGGGCCATTCCCACAGACCATGACTGTGTAGCATATCTCTGATCTGACCACATTTCTCCACTGAGGCTGTCCAGGTTCCAGTGACAGGTGGTAAATCCCAGACTCACACAAAGACAAGCCTGAAAATTTGTGAATCTGATTTAATTCTGTCTCTGCAAGTTAAAGGAGCAGTAAGGAAGACAAGGAACCATAAAGTTGCCCTGGCCTAGCTGCCTTGAGAGGCATGTGTCATCGAATTTTCAGGTTAGAGTCCATGACTCCTGGGGCACAATGTCCCTTCCAGTTTCTGAGAGACAGATGCACTCCCTCAGGCAGTGACGTGTTCAGGCCTCTGTGTTTACTCTCCATGTTCCCTGAAAAGTCACGGAAGCATGGACGTTTGACAGGACAATTGATCTTAGGTAGTAATGTTGCATACCCTGTATAGCTTGCAAATGTCATTGTCTCCTGGCAGCACTAACTGCATTGATCCTGGCAATCGGCACTATGTTCTGTTCCTGATGAAGATTTAAAAAGTCTGAATGCTCTCAATAAAATTGCCACAGATAAGTTTTGCTGTGGACCTTCCAACCAGCCTGATTTAATTCCTCATGGCCTATCAGATGACCTTGGCCTGGTAAGTAAGTGCAAGCACTGACAAAGAAGGCTGTGGAGAGTGGCAGTGGTTGGGTGAAGTGAGAGAAGGAGCAGCTCCTAGAGCCTCCAGTGAGTGTTTCTAAACACACTGGCAATCTGACAGCTGAGATATCTGGATGCTGGCTATACTTCTCATCTTCTGTGTTGGTCGGGGGGTGGGGGGCGCTAGCAAGAGGGCAAATGTGTCTCTGGAACTGGAGTCTTTAGTGAAGGTATCAATGAGAAAAATGCCAACATCTCGTGTGGTGCTGATTGCATGTGGGCCATCGTTCAGGGCCCTTCAGGTATGGACCTCATTCCATCCCCACCTACATCTGTGAGGTATTAGTGTTGATATGGTCATCCATCCCTTGGTGTTCATGGCACTGGAATCTCAGATACCACAGCCCCCAGGGCCTCCCCTCCCTTACATTTTATAAAGTGGTGTATAACCTCTGAAGTCCTCCCCTTACCTCCTGTCATCCCTGGGTGCCATGTGATACCTAATGCAATGCCATAGTTGTGCAAATAGACTTCACACTGTATCTCTGGAGAGCTCATAGTCAGGATAAACATAGGTAAAGATCAATACAGTTTAATTTTTTAAGAATTATCTTCAGATGGAGATCCTGAGGGACATCCATCCTTTCCCTTGTAGAGATCTAGAGAGGCCAGGAAACTCCCAGTGACAGACAGCTAGTGAGCAGGGTAGTTGTGGTCCAAGTCTAACACACACTGCTATGTTCAGTGTACGTGAATTTCTTATTTCTTTAAAATATTTACAGTTTTTTTCTGATTAAATAACCTATTCTAGGCTGAGATTCACATGCAGTTGTGAGGTGGGCATAGGTACCCCATGTGCTCATATGCCTCCCCAGTGGTGATGTCTAGAACATTCCAGCCAGGATGCTAAACTTGAGGCTAACCATCACAATATAAAAAAAGGCTTCAGTTGGTTACAAATATTTAAAACTCAGATTAGACAAAAACAGTTGGGATTTCTGATTTCCTCCTGAGAATAGAGCTCTATACAA